TTCACAATTCGAGCCTGTTGGAAGTTTGATGTTAATTTCAGTCGACTGCAGATGGCGGTACGAGAGCAAAATGGCAGCCACCGGAGATCGATGACAACGGATGGATTCAAAGTGGCCCTTGCAGACTTTGATTTATTCCTTGTATGAGGGGTCCAACCTCACCCTGTTGGACTTGACAGAGAGAGGGGGAAAGAGTGCTTTGATGAGGAAACGTGTTGAGCTGCTTCAGAGCTTGTTGCTATGGCAGCCATATGGACTCTATCAGCAGCATGAATTCCATCCTCAGATGCCTTTAGCACCCCGCTGGCTCAGGTGGACCACGGATGAATTTGAATGAGTGTAAAAAGCCCCCTGCACATGTGTGGTTTTTGTTTGGGCGATAAGAGAATCAGTCAGTTGGACATCTTTTCACTGCTATTGCGCTGGACCATTAAAATGCAAAATAAGCAACGATGGCTGCGTTGACCTGCAGTCACTTAATAAAATATACCTGCACGCTATTTTGCAGATGTTATGCTGGAAGGAAAGCAGCCATCAACTGTGGTGCAGCCATTTTTTTGTTTATTCTTTTCGTTCTCAGATGAGATTTTTCTCACGAAATAAACACAATAAATAAATATTTCAATAAAATGGCTATCTATGAGCACATTCTTTAAGGGGGTGTACAGGGTAGGGAGGTGCAAAAACTGTGATTTTGAAATCGCCGTGTAGCTTAAAAATTGAGAGAACGACTCCTCAGAGGTGTGAATTTAACTACTGCAGTTAGATAAAATATATTATTGCATTAATTTGCATATGTTTGGAGTCATAAAAAAGGGTCTGTGCATATCCCTGGGGTGCACCAGATTTGTCAGGAATGTTTTTATTCGCAAATGTGTTTTTTTCCACAGCAATAAAACAATTAAAGACGAGGGAAATAATTCAATTGTACTCTGTTGCTGTATGTTAAATCTCTTATATGGCCATTTAACTATGGCATGATCTGAATCTACGGTGGTCTCTTAAGTCCCAAAAAGATTGCATAATGTGATTAGTCTCACACACTACATGATCCAGTGACATAATCAGGACAGTTAGGATTGCTATACAATGCGTCATGTTGATGACCTTTTGTAGTTCCCGAAACATTTTGCGCACAACAGCCATGATATCCCGTGACTGTGTGTACATCTGCATTGATCTCCTGTTTGACTGCAAGCAGATACGGGACACATGATGCCGCAACGTAGGCAGCTGTGATACCATATACCGTCTTACGACTTGTACTTGGACAGAAAGGTAGCTCATAAGAAGATTTCCCTTGACTAATTGAGTTAATGCTGAAGGTGTTCATATTTATGGTATTTTTTTTACCTTTAACTTATTTTTTTCCCATAGTTCAAGTGCAAATCTGCTTGTAGGTCCTTATAAACATACTTTGCGTGCATCCGTCTTCTGCATAGACTCCAGCATAGACCAAAAAGTTTTAATTTTTCACCACTAAAGTGACCACAAAAAATTCAGCATTCACTCACAATGACACATTGAACAAAACAAATTCACATAATTTTCATTACAAATTCTAAATTTTCAGCTCATTCCATTCGCTTGGGAAAAGTTATTAAAGTACCAAAAATGTACATTCCTCACATGAAAATTCTCCATTCATTCTTAATGAAACAAAATAAATTCCCAATGAGGTTTTTTTTGTTGGTTTTACTTTAAATTTCTCATTTTTTGACCGATTCAAACTGCTTCAAATTCAAACTGTTCAGCGAGTCCCTACCACTGAATTGTTTTTTTCTAAATTTCAAAGTGACAGTCAAAAATGAGGGTGTTTTTTTTTCACTGAAATGATTCCAACTAAATAAAACTGCTCAGCTCATCTCGACTACAACTTGAAAAGAAATCCAAATAAAAGCCTCCAAAATTAAAGATATTTCTCTAATTACCTCTAATTTCCCACTTTTTAGCCATTTAAAACCATTCCAACTTGAAACTGTTTAGCTCATCACAATTTTAAAATAAAAGTACATTTCTTCTTCCTCTAATTTCCAAACTTTTTCAAATAATTCCAACTTTTAATTTTTTTTATATTATTCCAAAACATGCTTCCATATATTTCGTTCAGTATTTCATGATTCACACACAATTTCTCCAGAAATTGCATTCTGTAGTTCATGAAAATGACATTTAGCATTTATTCAGCTTCCTCAAATGCTTAATTAGTCTTTTATTTTCATTGAGATCAAGATTAAAATACAGACAAACAAACAAAAAAGTTTCTGGTGTTATCATAGTGGTTTGGTTTCATTTTCCTGTACGATATTATTGAAACAGTCAGAACACAAACACAAATAACAACAGCATTACATTTTCCCAGTTTATGAATGTCTAAAAACTACATAAGCCAGAAACAAAATAATTTATCATCATACATCAGTGTAATAATAACAATAATAATAATAACAGTATTCGAAGGACTTATAATACATACAACTCTGGAAAAAATAAGAGACCACGGCAAAATTAAGTTACTCTGATTTTGCTCTTGATATATACTGTAGATATTAAGAATCTACACACCCGTGTTCAAATAGCATGTTTTGGTCACATGAATATGACAAACCCCTTATCAAGTTAATCAGTCCCAGCAAGCTTTTGTTGATATATATATATTTTTTTGCTTTGCAGCTGAAAACTGAAGGTTTTGTGCTCACAGCAATTGTTATGTCCAACGGTTCATAATTCCCTTCACCTTGACAAAGGCCCTAGTTGCAGCTGAATAAAAACAACCCCAAAACATGTACGCCCAGTACCTTATGGAATTATGGCTAAAAAGTTAAATCACAGAAGGTCATTTAACCATAACACATTTTTGCAAGTGTGTGGTAGAATTAAAAATAGCGGTTGTGTTTGGAGAAAACCTGCCTGAATCTGGTAGAAAGCAAAAAAAAAAAAAAAAAAAAATGTCAGGAAAAGTAAACTTGAATGCGTAACTTCATGACGCACATTTTACGTTGAATTTCACTGTGGATTGGTTGTACAGGGTTTAGGTGACATTTATGGTCTTGGTCTCAGTTTATATATATATATATATATTTGAACTGGGGCGTGTTGACTTTTTTCTTATCCATTGAACAGTATACATTTGAGTAAAATGAAGTTTTTATTTTTTGGTTGTTTTTTTTTTTTTTTTGGATACTAAAAACTACTGACAAAAGTTCCAAATTCAAATATTGTCACTTCGAGCATTTATTTGCCAAAAATGGAAAATGATCAAAACCCCCAAATAGGTCCAGTGTTAGTTTGGTCCCTTAATCTTTTTCAGAACTGTTTTTTTTTTCTGTCATGACAGATACAGTGAGATACACATGCAGTGCGTTCACAGCACTAGTACAGTTTTAAAGAGACGGTAGAGTGCATTTGGATTGACGCTGGATGCGGTCAGACTACGGGATCTTGTATTTACAGTGTGTCTTGTCTTTGCAGATCAATGTCTTTGTCACCTAATTGATCGGTGCCCCCTTGCGGCCCTCCTTTTTTGCACAACTGACCGACAGCTCGTGACAGTTCATCGCTTGACAGCACCAAAAAAAAAAAAAAAGGCAACCACAGCACTTTTTTTTTTCAAAGTCAGTCTAAGAATCGTGTTCTCAAACTTAACGTCAAAATGTCACAACTCGCATTATAATTTCGAAGGAAGAGTACGAAAAGCGAAGCATTGCATCTGTCACGTGCTACAAGTCAAGTCAAGCTTATTGTCAAATGTGCTACATGTGCAACGTACAGCACAGATGAAATTTCTTTCCTCAGGAGAGAGAGGAGCCGCTGTGGGTGCCTGCGCCGCCATCTACAAACGTGTTGGAATGCTGTGATTAAAATGCTGCAAACGGCAAAGCAATTTGTTCATAATTGGCAGCACGGTAAATCGTGATTATCACACCTGGTTTCCAATCAAAAGATTCTGGGTTTGATTTTTGGATCTTTCTATTTGAAGTTTACTTGCCTGGGATACTAATTTATTTTCCTTCCGCATTCCAAACACGTGCATGTTAAGGTTACGTGAAAACTAACTTGCCCATGAGGGGGGTATGGAAGGGTGAATTTGTTTATTTGGCTGCCATCCAACCCAGAGTGTGTTCCACCTTTTGTCTAAACGTCAGACTCTCGCTTAGCCGCAACCTTAATAAAAAAGGCTACAGAAAATGAATGAATGAATGCAATTCTAAGTTGGGCTATGTCGCTATCGTGCAACAGCTCTGGATCACTGTGAATGTAGTCAAGTGCATTCCTACTCAATGCCCCACTATTTATTTTTTTTCCAGCAGTATGGTTAGTACACTCACCACACAGGCAAGAAGTCACTCATTCAAATCGTGGCTTGTTCTCCCGTGGCTGCATGGCTAGTTCGCCAGCTCCCACACTCCAAAAACATGCATGTTTTGTTCACTGACGACTGTCCATCAGTGTGAATGTGAGTGTGAAATTGTCTGTCTGTGCCCTGTGACAGGGTGTAATCATCTGTATTATTTACAGTGCATTTCTTTTTGTACATAATCCTACCAAATTATCTAAAAAATGTGTGTGTGTGTGTGTGTGTGTGTGTGTGTGTGTGTGTGTTTTGTGCAATATAATTGGACTTCTTTCTGAAAGAACACTGACGAAAGAAGAAAATTCACAGATGGTTAGACATCTAAACATTGTGACTGTTTTCTTTGTTTTTTAGGGTATTTTTGTTCCCATGCCAGTTGGCCAGGCAGGACTCTTTCTCTCTCTTCCTCGAGTGAGCAGTTTTTGAGAACAAAGGACATGGATTTAGATTGATCAAAGATGTGGCCGTAAGCGGACAGACTGTTTAGCTGCCATTTGCTTGTACATTGCCAGAGCGATTCATAAACATTTTTCTGAGAGTGAGTTTGATCGTGAAACATTGTAAAATCTCTCGGTCAAGCAAAGGACTGCTTCAGTCAAGGAAGCTATTCTTAATTATCTATAAAAATGTGTGTGTGTGTGTGTGTGTGTGTGTGTGTGTGTGTGTGTGTGTGTGTGTGTGTGTGCGTGTGTGTGCGCTCTCAGTTCCCAAGAACATGTCTGGGGGCTCGATGATTAGCCGCAGCCGCCCTGGATTTAGCTTTTTTCTCACCACTTGAGGGGAGGAACTTCTTTTTGTTCTTTTTGCGTTTCTTATCTGGGCACCACACCTTCTCGCAGTACTCCTCCACTCGCTGGGCATCCCTGTAGTCAATCAGCTGGAGGAACTCCTTGTACCACTGCCTAGAGTGTGAGCCCGGCAGGGAAGCAGGCACCAGATTCCTGGGGCTGAAACTCGGCCCCGCCATAGGATTGACGTGGGACTGACAGGGGGCTCCGCTTTTGTCTCCTGGCTTGTCCTTAGGCCTGATGGCAGACGCCAACGTTTCGCCGCTGAGCACGTGCAGAGTAACACGCAGTAGCGTGTGCACATATCCGTGTTCCACCGTCTGGCACATGTAAATCCCGGCATCAGAGCTGGTGAGGCTCAGAAGGAGAAGCCCGTGCGAAGTCCAGATCACACGCTCGTCCTTGTGAACCTGGGGGTATAAATTAATGAGGGGTTCTCAAATTTATGGCATCCTAGTTCAAAGTCCAAATACTCTGTTACTGTAGTGGAGTAGATTATTCAAAGTACTACAAATACTGCTACTGGTCACTTTAAAATGGTTCAATGATTTTCTGCACCAACTGTACAACTGTTATAGTATTGTATTCTACCACTGATCACTTTAGCTCTGCTTGATACTTTGCACATTGTCTCACAGTTGTCACTGGGTGGTACCACCGCATTACATTCCGGAATGTCTTTCCAGACTTATTTTTCCACACTTATTTGTCATGTCCTTGTTTATGATGATACTAATGCAGCGTGTTATACCGGAGACAATTTCCTTGTGTGTTCTACATACTTGGCCAATAAAGATGATTCTGATTCTGAAATAACTATACTTGAGTATTTATTTTCTGATGACTTTTTACTTTTTCTCCCTACATTGGAAAACACATACAGTGTTGCCTTGAGGTATGACTTTAATTCTTTCTGTGATCACGCTTGTAACTGAAAATACTCTTATTTCAAATCATTTTAATCCAATTCAGTAAAAATAAATACCATGAATCTGTTCCAGCCCCGACCCCCCCCCCCCCAAAAAAAAACTAATTTTCCAATGTGTATTTTATTAAGGAAAAATAGGAGCCGTAACTTGATTTTGCAGAACCCCAAGTTACGGCTCACAGACCCGCAGAGGACCCCGGGCCTCAGTTTGAGACCCCCTGCATTTGACCTGATATTTCTGATAAGTGATTTCCACCTCCTAAATGACTGCAGACTCAATTGGTATGGCATATGGCTCGCTACAGTTTAATGATTTCCACTGGCTCAGTGATGCAGAAAACCCAATTTCCTTGAGTAGGCTGTGTTCCGACCCCCTGAAATACGACAGGACATCCAAAATCACATTGAAAACAACATGGTTTATCTTGAGATGCAGCTTTTTATTTGCTTCTCAATCCCAATCACCTCAATTGCAAAATACTATTACACTCACAGAACAGTTCAGTAGCTCTGTCGTGCTGATGAGAATACTAAGGACTTTAAATTTGCATTCAGTTGGATCCCGATGTGTCATTTTGTGTAGTTTGTACTGTAGAAAATCGTACCGAAGCACTAAAGCACTACCTTGAAATAGAAGATGAACTTGTATGAAAAAATGAGACTCCTGTTGCAACATGGTCAGGTGCAGTGTTGTTTAGTATAATAGTGTAATATACTGGAGCGGTGGTTCTCACCATTTTCATACCGAGAACCACCTAAAAATTTTTTTAGCTTTGCAAGTGCCACCAAAATCACCAACACTAAAATACAGTAGCATAGTTGGCCAAACTGTTCATCAAAAATAGGACTGTAGTTTTATTCCTAATATGTACAATCATATTGTAAGTCACTCTAACATTTTGCACAGTTTGAAAGTTGTGCTTAAATATAAGAAAATAAAAAAAATCCAAAAAGCAGAATTTACTACAGTGCAGATTCCATTCATTCTATGTAAAATAAATTGCTTGTTTTCTAGTGGGGGCGCCTCAGTGGTCCAGTGGTTAGCACGTCGACCTCACAGTGCAGAGGTCGGCTCCTGTGTGGAGTTTGCATGTTCTCCCCGGGCCTGCATGGGTTTTCTCCGGGTACTCCGGTTTCCTCCCACTTTCCAAAGACGTGTACGGCAGGCTGATTGAACACTCAAAATTTGTCCCTAGGTGTGAGTGTGAGCACGGATGGTTTTTCGTCTCTGTGTGTCCTGCGATTGGCTGGCAACCGGTTCAGGGTGTCCCCCGCCTACTGCCCGAAGACGGCTGGGATAGCCTCCAGAACCCCCCCGCGACCCTTGTGAGGATAAAGCGGATCGGAGAATGGATGGATGGATGTTTTCTAGTGTTCCGATTTCACATGGCTGAAGCTCTTCTACCCAAACTTACATCAACAGTAGCATTTACTTGCACAGCACAATTCCCTAAGCCACGCGGCGTACGACACTCACCTCTTGTTTGTCGTCTCCACGTTGGAGGAACCAGAGCACCTTGGCATGAAGCGATCGAGGGACGCAGCTGAGCAATGTGCTGTTGCCCTCCACACCAAACACGGTCTTCTCCTCAGATTTGTGCCATGGCTCATCTGGATGGACAAAACAGGATAAAAACCTGAGTTTGTTGACTGTATAAGCACCGTGTTCATATTTCTACAGCATTTCTTTGATATGCAACGCAACTGGAGCCTGCTCTTTTCCACTCACCGTCAATCTGCAGGCCGTTGCACAGCTGGACAGCGTTGCCATGGAGAATATCCTGTCGCCTGAATCGTCTGAGGAGATGGAGGGGAGCAAAAAAATAAAATGTAATGAAAAAGTGAGGGAATGGGACATTTGCATGTGCGATAGAAGCATTGCTGGAAAACAAAATAACACCCTGAAGCTCATGGTGGGAAGTAACAAAGTACAAACAGTTTGCTCCTGTAGTGAAGTGAAAATTTTCATGTAGCTGTTCTTGAATATTTTTGTCTGACAACTTTTTACTTTCACACCCCACATTTGAAAAAAAAAAAACATTTTGACCATCCGTATGACTCTTTAATTAGTCAAAGTAGGGAAATTTTGTTGTTGTGAGTTTGTCAAAATGATCAAAACAAGCATTTTCTGTTTTGACAGTAAAAAAATATTTTACTTGTCACTGTCTGTACTTTACATTTTACTGAAGGAAAGGAGTATTTTTTGTTTTTTAGCACACAGTATTTCTATTGAGGCATGTGAGTACATTCCCACCTCTGTCCTGCATTTTACCTCTTGGTGTAGACTCCAGATGGATAGTAGCGTGAGCAGGTGAAGCCGTCCCAAGCGCAATAGGGATCTCGAGCCAGACAACAGTCAGCGCATTCTGAGCCATAGAGGGCGCAGTGGTGCAGTTGGACCTGGGCCACACCCGCATCCGAGCCCACATACAACTTTTGCTGACAACCCGAAAAAATAAACACAGGCAGGATGTTCAATATGCTCGACAATTCTTAACCCAGGACTGATGACAGAACACAGCCGTGCAAAGTGATGCAATGTGATCACCCTGTGGTTAAAAAGCAGAATTGCAGGAATGCTGAATTTTAATAGCCAATATGCACAGGGAACGTAAAGGTTTTGTTATCACACAAAGTGCTCATAGATTCGCAGTCTTACCCGTTTAGGGGATATAATAATCTCTTTTATTGGCACTGGAACCTGGGAGAAAAAAAAGACAGACGGCTGTGTCAACGCCTTAATAGCATGGGGACGTGCATAAGATGTAAACATATGTATATTTTTATAGTTACAGGACCATTAACTAAAATCAGTCGATTAATTTTATACAATTTATTAAAAAAACAAAAAAACATGTTTAATCGAGATCTGGTCCACATTACAACAAACTACAGTGTTGCCACGTTCACACCTCAAACACTTGCAGCTCCTCCAGCAGCACCTCTTCCATTGTGTCGATATCTTTGTTGTAGATCGTGATAACTTTGAGCACCAGAGAGTCATCTGTAGGGACGAGGCAGCAATGATGGATTGTTTCGAATAAATCGTTTCTATCCTACCATTACACATAGAACCGAACAATATTCCTGTTTCATACTGAATTGGATTGTTTGTATCGTAACAAATCCTATTGTTTTTGTACGGCATCATACATGATCATACCAAATTCTATAGTCTCGCAACTTACCTATAATGCTAAATACAGTGTCATAACATATCCTTTTATTTGGTTTTGGCACTGTGTCTTATTGTCATTATAAAAAAAACTTTATTGTCTCGTATGTATCATACAAAATTGTATCATATAAAATCCTTTTACTTTGGGCTGTAACATACAATATCATACTAAAATCATATTGTTTCATGGCTAATGCAATATACCTTATTGTTCCGAATACTATATTGTTTATTACTGTCATTCTATTTTATTTATTTATTTTTTGTATCTTAGCGTTTCATCGTATGATGATGCAGGGTCGGATTGTTTCATGTTGCCCGTATGAATGAAGCAAATCTGCACTCACACTTGAAAACATGGATAAATATATACAGTACTGTATGTTATATAAGAGCCGTAGCAACAACAATCACAACAAAAAGTGGTCCTTACAAGATTACGGGAACTAAAAAGCTGTTCAACAATGCGTGTTGACAAAAAGAACAACCAGTACCTGTCCCAATATAGAGAACATGGTAGTGTCCATCTTGGGCTTGAACCCTGTCCACTGCAATCTGTGTCAACTTTCTCCTCCTGGGCTGTGTTTGCAGGAAGACTGGCCTGCGATGTTGCGGAAGAACTGGACGATACATCATGGGGTGAGAGCGCACGAAGCGCAGAACCTCATCTGGAAACTCCTTAGAGCTTGAAAAGCCGCCACCGTTGATTTTGCTGGCACACTGTCAAGGAGATGATAGATTTAAAGCGGAGGAAGTAGACAAGGTAATTAATTGCATTGGCACGGTTTTGCTGTGTGGATAACAACAAGCTGGTATGTTGTGGTCTGACTGCGGCTGCCCGCGGCACGGCATGGCCTGATGGAGGTTGCTTACATTCAGCATGGAGTTTTCCATGCTCACTGTGATGTTCCACTCTATCGACATCAGTCAAAGAAAAACATGTGTTGTGAATGTAAAATTGCGGTGGTTTTGGAATCAAGTCAACAGGCCTCAGGGATATATGAAGTATTTTTTCCCCCACAAATTAAAATAATTCTCAGTTGTCTAAATAACACATCTATTACTTGCTTTCACCAAAATACCCCAAGGATCAACAATTGTAGCACGCTAGACACCCTCTTTCTTTCGCCTTTCTGAAATCAGCCTGTTTTGATCGTGTACCTCTGACTTGCTTGAGAGAGGCTTTGGTTACCATGCTGACTGACAGTGGAGTTCAGAGGGTAGCTTCTTGTGCAGTCTATAAACGCGAGCGTAAACTGCAAATTGGATATGAGCCCTTGAAAAGACAGTATTAGCATGAATTGTACTTGTATTTACCCTCGTGGTTGTAGCACTTCTTTACCAGCCATCAAATGACATGTTTCAGTTAATATAGCGGATCCTAGTAGTTAGCCCGCGTGACTCAGTTCTGAGTTTCACGGTTTAAAACTGCACTCTGACATTCTTATGTTGAGATTATACCTTTGTAATTTGCCGATCTGATATCTCATGGATGGAGAAACTTGTGAGGGATGTATTATGTAAAGTTGTATTGTGATCCAGCAAAATTTTGAAATAGGCTGCAAACAAAAATATTTCCTTGATTGTTTAATTTCAAACCCAGTGGAGTGGACAGGCACTCCAGAGATCTAGTGTATGGTTTATAAAAGCTGTCGACCATTTCATAATGGTTGTATTTTTTAAGATAAGATGAGATAAGAAAACCTTTGTTTGTCTCACAATGGAGGAATTCGCAATTTACAGCAGCAAAATTTGGAGGGAAGAAAGTAGAAAAAACGAAGTATTTGCATGCACAAAATAAATATTTGTCTCAGTGAGATAGCTCTGATGAAGGTGGCAAAAGACATTGGCCTGAACCTAGATGCAGGTAAAATCTCAGGCTTAGTTCTGCTGGACCTGAGCATTGCCTTTGTGACAGTCATCTATGTGATCTTATTACAGCGATTAAAACACTCGGTGGGAAACTCTGCTACTGCTCTAAATTGGGTCAAGTCCTATCTTGAGGACAAGAAGTACTTTGCTGAAATTGGTAACTGTGTAAAATGGCTTTGACTTGGGAGGTTCCTCAAGAGTCAATCTTGGGGACACCTATTGTTCAATTTGTACCTGCTTCCATTAGGTCAGCTAGTACGCAGCTATCAATTGTCCGAGCACAACTGTCCAGATGACACTCAGATCTCCACGTCATTGTCAACAATTGAAAGTGAACCTGCAAATTCACGTTGTCAAGGCACAAAACCAATCAGTCTGAGGATGCAAAACAATATTCTATTTAACGTTAGAGTGAAATATAAAGTCACTCCATCCATCTTCTTTCGTGTCTGTCCTCATTATGGCAGCGGTTAGGTCAGAGATAGGTTATGAAAAACTCAGTTAACAAAGAGGACTTACAGATCCAGGCCGTGGGTAGGGGACTTTATCTTCAGAAGGTGTCCAGTGATGCTCAGGTCTCTCTCTGAAGGCAAACGGTCCGTTAAATGCGGCTCGGATGTCATCCATGTGATAGACACACACCGCATAGCCTTTAAACACGGCACTGCAAAAGAAGACTTCGAGTGATCAGTTTGCCTTCATGTCATGAAAAAGAAAAATTGTCTTCCTCACCTCGTTGTGCTAAAAAGGCCAAAGATTTCTGGGTTTTTCCCGTCTTTGTTCTTCAACACATAGACGTCCTCTATAAAACAAAAGTCAGAATTTATTTTGGACAGGAGAACATTTTCTTTAGCATAACTGCGTCAGGTTCTCTGTTTATTTGGTTTTGGAGACAGTTGATATTTCAAACAGGGCAGACATTCTATTCAGGATGTTATGTAATAAGAGAGGCTGTAATATCTAAAGTAGGATCTATATAAGGAACAGATCCAGATTGTCAATTTGACATCAATATGACGTGAACATGAAATAGGCCATTTACGATTTTCAGATGTTCAAATCAGTTTGTGTCTTGTGTGACTTGAGCTTTAATATCAAACAAAGTGTAGTCTGGATCTGATCCTGATTAAACAATTGACAGCAATTTAAATGTAAATTTAAATTTGTATGCAGGTGCAATTGAATAGCTGGAATGCGTGTCATGTTTTACCTGGTTATAACCAGATTATTAATTTTGGACATTTAAATCTGACACAAAAGTATAATGTTTGTTCAACCATATATGTATACCTGTTGATAGTAAAACACTTTCTTCGATGTTGTGTAAAAGTAGCTTTGATGTCAAACTAAGTTATTTATAGATCTCATCCATTTGGGATTTTGCAATTTGAATTGAAGAAAAAGACAAACTTTATAAAATGTTCAGATGCCTACACCTTTGGCATTTTGTGATTTTATTTTGTTCTGTGCTGGAAGCAGTTGTAATTAATCCAAATTGGGCATTTGCCCAAATAATATTTAGGGTAATCGTATTTGACATTTTGATCAAATGCTTAATTATTTGTGAAATCGCATCAAGGAGTACTAATCGTATTTGACATTTTGATCAAATGCTTAATTAGTTGTGAAATCGCATCAAGGTATGTCAGTAGTTGTGCGTGTGTGTACATCTCCCAACTTTGTAACTTGTATAGGTACTGTCTAAACTAGAAAACAATGAGATATACCACATGTCCTCACCAAGTTGATCAAAGTGAGTATCAATGCCATCAGGTCCGGCCACGGAGCAAATGAGTCGAGTTTTCAGAAAGGAGCTCCATCTGTTCACCAGCATCCTCTGTCCTCCTTGATCATTCTGAGAGATGATAGGACACCAAATGATGGATGACCGCACTCTCAGCACTTTTGGCTTTATGATGGATTTTGTCCAGAAAAAGCCCATAACAATATATCAGATCCTTTACCGCGCAAACTCGTCCGACACGGGTGTAGACAGCCTTGTAGAGCCCCTCTGCATCCACCTCACGTTCGGTGAAGAAGAAGTAAACTTTGTCATCATCTTTGTCGTCGTTATCAGGAATAACCGCTGAACCGACAAATCTCGGTTCTGCAGACAGACAAATGTGAAACTAGTTTCTGCTGGAACAAAAGTAAATCAAGGTATGTTGTTGTCTGCACTTCTCGGTATTGTGCACCACGACACCCCCTGTTGGACAGCCACAATTCTCACTCTGAAGGTGTGAATGTGGCTGGCTTTTTGCCCCTGTCTTTTATGTCTACATATGACTGGCAACGGGTCCAGGGTGTATCCTGACCTTTGCCCAACGTCAGCTGGGATAAGCTCCAGCACCGCTCGAACATCATAAATGGTCCAGAAAATGAATGGACGGATGGATATCAACTGACCGTTGAGCTGCTGCCTGTCGTCCCTCTCAGTACGCGTGTAGGTACGGTTGTTGAGTCTACACAAGGCAGCATCGTTCTCCCAGTAGTCTGTGTAGAGGCCGACATACAACTCTCCACCTGAAACAAACAAACAAGCACCAACACTTGTTATGAATCCATGATGGAACATGACCACAAGATGGCGGCATTGAATCTCTTAGAAACAAGCGACTCCAATGTTAAATCTTTTTGGCATAGCGTATGACACTAGGGATTTTACCTCTTGTTCTTACTTACCTGAGAGTGTAGAAGTGCAGGGACTGTTGTGGCTGAACGGACATCGCCCTTTACCGCTTGTAATGCTCTCCTTCAGCAGAGTAAATAGCCTGTCCTGTCAGCACAAAACCACACGCGCATTGTTACACGTCAAAGGCCAAGTATACAGAAAAAGATTTTAAAAATAAGCTGTGTGATTTGGAACATACATAGAAGAAGTGATCTGTGGATAGAAAGTGATGGATGAGCCATCATAAAGGTCAGTTATATATCACCACTTCTAACAAGAAGGCGTACGTAGGAATAGTTTTAAAATTTGTATTATTGATATTTTATGTTAAAAAAGTGCTTTGTTACAGCTGCAGTTGATGTGAAAGATGTAATGTATTGTGTGTGTGTGTGTGTGTGTGTGTGTGTGTGTGTGTGTGTGTGTGTGTGTGTGTGTGTGTGTAAAATATGAGTTCAACACTACTGATGTCGAAGCTCTGAAATCCAGGTGGCACTCACACAAACAAAACCATCGATTCACAGCCTGCATTTTTCCAACCATCACCGGTGGTGCCGAATTGTCATTGATTTATGTGGTCCTGGAAGCCCGCTGTGCTGTGAATACGGCCTCTCAAATGACTGTAACAAAGGCCAGCTCCAGTTCACCACTCACCAAACAAACAAGACCCTCACTCACGTTCACACCTTTAATTCATTTATCATTCGTGTTTTTCTGAAATGTGGAGAGGAAAAAAAGAAGGTCCAGGAGATGAACGAGCAAATTTGACAGCCGAGATTTGACCTCAGAACCACCTGGCTGTAAGGGAAACTTGTTTACCGCATTGCTGCACCATGCCGCCCACTTTGATATTCGATTGCTTGTTTAATGGAAACTGGACATAAGACATGCAAGCTGCGAATGAAGCATCCAAAGAAAATAGGCAATTGCAGCTACTGGTAAGTGGAAACTGAGGAGCTCAGTACTGCAAGGACTCACCTTTCCAGTGTGTCCAACATGTACCCAGGCGCAAATAGGGTTAAAGGATGCCGTCCCACAGACCAAGAGATGGGTCTGGTTGTATTGTTGCAAAACCTTGATGTAGTTTGCGCACTCCATCTGTTGGAAGAATTTGGACAAATACATCACGGGGGTGACGACATTGCATCATGGGGCTGTGTGGTGGAGAAAAGTGTCATGGAAAAATGCCAGCTGTTTACTGCATTATCAATCATGTCAATAGGGCAGGTGAACCAGAGGTCAGTGAGCTGGAACCTTGATTGCGCTACTCTTCATAACCTACTCAACGTATGGTGATTTACCAAGACAATTCGGTAATATGTACTTATTGACATACTTTTTCCCGGCCCTTCCTCAGGCATTCTTCGATTTGGAGTTCAGAACTGGCCCACTGGATCTGGAAAATAGTAAAGAGAACAAAAGAACAGTACAGCAATTATTGGCATTATTCAAAGTATGACATCAGTTTTATACTTGGGAGTCAAAATACTACCACTTCAATGTTTGAACATGCACATCCAAGCAGGTCACATGATCCAGTTACGGGTTTAAGAGTTCATTAGTCTTGGCTCCGGACTACCTCTCTGTGCTGCGTGTTAACCTGGTCCAGGCTGAGGGAGAATAGAGCATTCTTGGCCCCGACATAAAGCCTCTCGTGGCCCTCGTCCAGCAGCATGGTCTGGGGCTGAAGAGGCACTCCATTGCCCTGGAACACCCACGTCCTGTTTAACTGCCAAAGTTCTGTCGCGATAATATCAACACGAGACACTGAGGATTAACAAATATGATTATGGTAACGCCGCATCGGCGGTTTGTATTATATTTGAAATAGTGCAAAAGTTCCCATGCCCAGGTTAGATATGGTTTACTGAATTTAAGAATTAATCGCCTTGTTCTGTCGATATCCATTCACTACATCACTGATTCATGCTTTAAAGTTTGTTGTGATGAGTGCAATTTAAAATACAAGACTTTCAATCAAAGATGACTGTGACTTTTTGAGATGTCAGACTGTCGTTTGCTGAATATTTTTATTTTAGTTTTTATACTTTGGAATGTCATGAAATGGCTTTAAAAAAATTGTTTTTTTACTTCCCAGTGATCTCTTTGGTTGTGTAATTCTGCTGCCTGTATTTGTTTGACATATAATTTGGGGATCAAGGCTGCCCCCAAAATTGGAGACAGCGCGAGTACATTTTCCATCTACTGGCACATCTACTGATTTATTTTTTTTTTGTTTTGGCAAACTTCTGCTCGCGAAGTTATTAACAGTCATACCCAGGAATGCAACTGTAGAGTACAAATACGCTACAAATGAAATAATCACCAAAACATAAAGTATTATATCATCAATATACCGCATCTGACAAGGGCACCACAAAAAAAGCTTACATGTCCGACCCTGCATAACTTTAACAACGAATGATAGCTCACAGGAGTATCAGTGCCTAGTTCCCCCCCCATATACATATGGAGACAGACAACCGTTTATACTCAGATTTGCACTGTCTTTGAGCTGAACCTGAACCAACGCTGCCTGCAACTAAGTCAGGACGAATCCAGTTCAATTGCAAATTTTGGGCTCTCATGTCAAACTCTTGCACCATGTTTTCTGAGAAAAACTCATGAATATTTACTTTACAAATCAATTTAGAGTGTGCACCCCTAAAATTTTAGGGGTGGTTGTGTTCTCAGTAAAAATGAATAAATAAATAATAATAATAACAATCATCATCATCATCATCACAAACTGTAGCCCAGAATCCTGCAATCCAATCGCATGTTTGTTTCCTGTTAAAAAAAAAAAAAAAGAAAAAGATCTGTCAATCAAATTTTGAGTTAGCACAATCTGGTAAGCATACACTGACGTCATCATTTTCAGGACATTTCATTGGATACTCAATTGTAAGTGACATCACGTGCTGCTCGCACAAAGCTCATGACACTATAAAGTGGAACTTGACTTTTAAATGTTTAATCTCACTCGCCTCCTACCGTCAGATGGATATCTGTCCTAAAGGAATACCAACTTGTAAATGTGGCCCATCTGTTGGAACGTTAGCGATAAAGCCTCAATGGCTATACCGTATGTCTGGACCATGAACACAAGGGAAATAAAAGAGGATGGGTTCTGCTCTTTTATTATATTACAGTTCGTCAATTTTGGTGAGTAAATGCTTTACTTTAACATTTCATTTTGTTGCTTCCTGCTGCAAAGTGCTCAATAAATAAAGCTGTGTTGAGTTGATTGTGACTATATTAGATCACAGCTGGTGATGATACATCATCCAGAGAGTTCTTTTGTTTATGACCGATGTCGTTTTTTTAAAAATCTCATATGCAATTTATATATCTTTTATAGTTATGATTTTTATTTTATTTTTTTATCTTGTAGAAACCCCCCCCTCCTCCCCTATTATATCATCAATATACCGCATCTGACAAGGGCACCACAAAAAAAGCTTACATGTCCGACCCTGCATAACTTTAACAACGAATGATAGCTCACAGGAGTATCAGTGCCTAGTTCCCCCCCCATATACATATGGAGACAGACAACCGTTTATACTCAGATTTGCACTGTCTTTGAGCTGAACCTGAACCAACGCTGCCTGCAACTAAGTCAGGACGAATCCAGTTCAATTGCAAATTTTGGGCTCTCATGTCAAACTCTTGCACCATGTTTTCTGAGAAAAACTCATGAATATTTACTTTACAAATCAATTTAGAGTGTGCACCCCTAAAATTTTAGGGGTGGTTGTGTTCTCAGTAAAAATGAATAAATAAATAATAATAATAACAATCATCATCATCATCATCACAAACTGTAGCCCAGAATCCTGCAATCCAATCGCATGTTTGTTTCCTGTTAAAAAAAAAAAAAAAAGAAAAAGATCTGTCAATCAAATTTTGAGTTAGCACAATCTGGTAAGCATACACTGACGTCATCATTTTCAGGACATTTCATTGGATACTCAATTGTAAGTGACATCACGTGCTGCTCGCACAAAGCTCATGACACTATAAAGTGGAACTTGACTTTTAAATGTTTAATCTCACTCGCCTCCTACCGTCAGATGGATATCTGTCCTAAAGGAATACCAACTTGTAAATGTGGCCCATCTGTTGGAACGTTAGCGATAAAGCCTCAATGGCTATACCGTATGTCTGGACCATGAACACAAGGGAAATAAAAGAGGATGGGTTCTGCTCTTTTATTATATTACAGTTCGTCAATTTTGGTGAGTAAATGCTTTACTTTAACATTTCATTTTGTTGCTTCCTGCTGCAAAGTGCTCTATAAATAAAGCTGTGTTGAGTTGATTGTGACTATATTAGATCACAGCTGGTGATGATACATCATCCAGAGAGTTCTTTTGTTTATGACCGATGTCGTTTTTTTAAAAATCTCATATGCAATTTATATATCTTTTATAGTTATGATTTTTATTTTATTTTTTTATCTTGTAGAAACCCCCCCCTCCTCCCCCCCCCACACACACACACACATGCACCCACAGTGTGTAACCACATCGGTGAAATATTGTTCACGAGTGTACAGATATGAATGATAGATAAGATTGCCTGGGTCACATCTCCACATATGTGGCATATGTTTTAAATTCAACATCTTCCCCGAAGAATTGCCCACAGTTCTAGCAAAGGGGTATCTTTATATCCTGTCACTTCCTCCCATGTGGAAACCCTTTTGCTCTCAAGTGTGTCACATAATGCATCAATCCTCCAGTCATACACTGATAATCCAAGCTATGCAGTATGATGGTGTGTTATTAAGGAGGGGGAGAATGAGTTGCTTTTATTTTTTTGAAGGTAGAATTTTATGCTAACGTGGATTTGTCGAGGTCTTGGTTTACCAAACTTAGGGAAGGTTTAAACATTGATATATTTTTATAGTTCACACGATGGAAAGTTACTGATCATCAAACAGGTGCAAAACGTCATGGAAAAGTGTTTGCTGATGTAAAAAGGCATTGTAGGCATTGTTCCCTTTCAGCTGCGAGCGTGACATGGATTGACATCGCTCACCATGGAATGTTCAGGGAGTTTGTGTGAATGCTCGGTTCCATGGAAAATTTGGTTGTCGGTGTAATATACAGTGTATGTCAATTTTCTGGCAACGTGCAATATCTTTGCAAGTTTTGGACCTCACAACGTATGGGAAGGAGCATACATGTGGATGAGAACACTCCCAACTGCATAAATTGAGTGGAGCGCCGCTCATGTGTTCAATATGCACAAAAGTGGATGCGTGCGCACGTGCGTCAGATGATCTGATTAAGCTTGGCAGGCCGTTCCGCTAAACATGCTCTCCATGTGCTGCATGGGCACAGGGTGAAAATCAGCAGAAATACTTCCATGACTTTGAAGGTGAAGAGATTGAAAAGAAGTGATGCTGAGTCCAATGTGCTTCCTGCGAGTCTCAATAGCCCTTTGTTTGAAATAACTGAATTAACAAATAAATAAAGCTTTCATTGTTCCCAAAAGGCCTGAACCAGGCGTCCATGTGAAGGGAAAATGGGTGACCTGGTATGTGTTAAATTTTAAATCATTTTCACTGGCAGGAAGGGATTTCATTTAAGCACGGGCCATGACCAGTCCTTAGACACCAGCACTCAATAAATGGATTTTAATTACTTCCGTTCTGGTGTGAGTGCATGTTATGCAGGGTTACACAAAAAAGAGTGTTGGCCTCGGTGGAGCTATGTGTGAAATAACTTCACAAAATAAGTCACCATATGATATCACAAAACGTTGCCAAAAATATCGCGACACAGCCAAAAATAGAAGCATCTACAATACATCATGACATATTTCATCACTGTCAAGCGGCGGTGTTGTAGAAACCTTTTTTTTTTCCCCCAAATTTCCGATGGCCACCCCCTCAGGGATTGACGATAAGTGTTTTTCCCGCTGGGAGTATATGGATATTTATTGCTGGTGCATAGATACAGTATCAAAACAGCCAGCAAAATAATACAGCCGTCTCTTTCTATTATCCAACCCATACTATCGGCCTATTTGAAATATATTATATTAGATGCTGAATCCAAAATCTTTGCGGGTGAGCGAATCAGAAGCCAACCCGAGAACCCCGACTCTACTATAGGTGTAAAAGCACCCTGACATATTTAATTTTGACCGTAGCTTCCGTACTGATCTGCCGGATGTGTTTCTAATCCATTAAATTGTTCTGGTAGAACGATAATCCGTGTCAATTTGAGCAAGATCATTTTAGAATAGTGAGCATTAAGCACCTAGAAACCTCTGCTTAATCTGCTGTACTTGCACTAAATGTCTCACTTATGTGGATCACAACAATGGGGGATCTTGTTCTGAGGTCTTGCTACCTGCTGAGGCTGCATGGGCTAATTGCTGAATTTTCTTTCCTATCGTCTGTATATTTTAGTGAAACTCAATCATGGGCATAGATGCAGGAGACCTTTATCCCATTTTCATATTTTAACCACAGGAAAATCCCATCACCATTTGTTTAAAATAGGATTAGGTTTCCACAGTGGAGTAGATGAGTGCAAGTAGTACTTTGTTGCGATTAAGGAATAAATGTTGGAAAAACAAGAACTGTTTGTTTGAGTAGGACTGGGTCTGGAATTGCTGGGTGCTAGCGATTTTGGGTGGTGTGGCAAGTAGTCATATGCGCTCCCTGTAATTGTCTAATCAGCACACAGGCAGACTCGCATCTCTTGTGGTCACTTCTCAGT